ATCGACTTAATTGAATGAAACGCAGATTATCTCCTACTATCTAAGAGTGACGAATCCTTTATTGATCAATCACAACCTTCATACGATTCTTGACGTACCCGAACGATGTCGTATTAGCGGCCCTTTTCAGAGCAACATCCAACACCGCCAAAGTATGACTGTCCTCATTTAGGGTACTATGACGACCTCAAGTCAAAGGATCAATCCCACTACCGAACGTTAGAGATTAGCCACTGACACTCAGATAGTTATCCATGTGGAATCTCTTAACGGGTCTCCAATGTTTTGTTCTACAACAAAACATCCACATGTTCATTTAAGTGTCACCACACTTTAGCTCGTGAGATCAGCTGCTTACTTCATAAGTAAGAAATGCCACACGTGATGGTCTAACTGTATTAACGATATCCGTATCTCGTTATTACTTACGACCATGGTTTATTCAAGATCCAATTATATGTAATTTGTATCTCACAATCACAACTCCTTGTGATTAACAGATTACCTAAAAATTGGGTCTTCGGATTCTATTATTTAATATTATTTATTACAAAATTAATTTAAATAAATAATAGATCTCGCCAAAATCAAATGCATTAAATATATTAAAAGCGTTTACAACCTAAATCGATTGGATTTAGGGCATAACACTTACAGCACCTGTCATCTTGGTCTTCTTTAAAGTTATTCTCTTTATTGGCACATTAGATCCCATCTCTTAGCCACAAATCACAGACGAGCTATTTGTATTATTGTTTGCGCTCGTGCCCAATGAATCATTAGTAGCCTTTACACCAGTTGAATTTACTCCTTGATTTTTCTTTTAATTAGCCTTCCTCAGATAAAATGTGACTTGTCTGAAACTACAACAAAATCTCTTCATTGAATCAAAAGGTTTTCCCATGTCGAGATAGAAACTATCCAGAGCTGTCGAACAGAGTTCAGCTAGCAAATGAGTTGACGATGCCTTAATCGTCCAATTTATTCAGTTTATGAGGCTCCTTGAAATGTTCACTTGAAACTTTTTTCTGGGTGTTCTTGTCACTTGATGAACTGATTTGCTTTGGACCTTTTGTTCCATTTTCCACCACAATTTTCAACTCCTGATTCATGTCCACATAAGGATAGGCTAGAGATGAAGGGGAAGGAAAAAATTTAGTAAGACTATATTACCCTTGATTTTTTAAAAGAAAAATTGCTTTTCGTGGAGTTAACGATGCAATTGACTGTAGATAGATGTAAGGACCTTCTCCACAATAAAAGTGAAATAAATGTGAAAATACCAATATAAATAAATAAATAAATAAGATATGGATATTTTGCACACGTTTTGTGCTAATTAGCCTTTATAAATGGGTAATTGATGGAAAATTCTCCTGGTCTTTCACATCCAATATGAAAGATCTTGATCAAGTCGATACCATACTCGATATCAAAGTCATCAAGACTGATGGGGGCTATATGTTGAGCTAATCACATTACGTTGAGAATATAATTAATAAGTTCAATAACTTGAATATTAAATTGGATAATGCTTAGGACAACTTGAGTATACAAGTGTTATCTGAAGTCTAATGTATGTTGTGAAATGTACAAGATCCAACATAGCATTTGTAATAAATAAACTTAGTTGGTTTGTTAGCAATCTAAGCAAAGAATATTAAAAATCTAAGAAACAAACGTGTATTACTCACTCAGCTCTAGAATTCGAATTTTGAAATCGGAAAAGAAATTGAATGGCTTAAAAATTTAATATATGAAATTCTATTGGGAGAAATGAATAATTCTTCCATATCTATCTTATGTGATAGTCAACCACTTTAGCAAGAAGTGCATACAATGAAGTGTATCATGGTAACTTTCCACATATGAGTCTAAGATATGATTACGTAAGAAAATTAATCAAAAGTGGAATAATTTCACTCGTATATGCAAAGTCAAATGAAAATTTGGCTGATCCCACTCACAAGGAAATTAGTGCAAACAACAACTAATATGATGGGTTTAAAGCTTTCATGCTACCAAGGATTTCAATAACAACTTTGTGATATTTATTCTAAGGTTTCATTTAAATTGAAAGATATCTATACTTTATGCATAAGTGTCGTTAAACATGAGCTTATACTCATTTTATAATTGAACAAGTGGAGGATTGTTGGATATTATTCATATTAACAATGAGTAGTGATTTTGAAAGTAATGAAAGTGGTTAAACAGGAGAAAAACAAACGAAAATAAAACGAGATCAAAAAACGATGAAGGCCAAAAAATGGCTGGGCTTAAGGCCAAGTAGTTGTGTTTCAATTATAGTGGCAATTTTATTGAACTAAACAAATGCCTGATTTTGTATTGGGCAACCACTCAATACAAAAATCTGATCATTGGTTGTTTGAATTTTGGTGTTGTTTTGAAGTGTTTCATACCCTTTTGACTTATTTTTTCACATTTTCGTGCATGACGATTGTAGTTCTATATATATGAATGATTTTTCATGTTGAAAAATTTATCACAGATATCAAATTCATTCATCAATATCCAAAATCAAAGATCAAACCAAGGTTTTATAATTTTGTTCTAAAGTTCATTTTTCAAGTTTGTTTGCTTAATTCAAACTTTGGATTAAGGTTGTTATATTTGGATTAAGGTTTTTATCACTCCTACAAACTATTTGCTATTGAAACCTTCGAATGTTTATTCTAATAACGACAAATATCATTTGAGAACAGCTCGTAATTGTATTCAAACTTTCAATTTTGGCAATTTCTTGTTGCTGGTTTTATTTTTATCTTCATTGACTTTGTTCAACAGCATTAAGAGCAAACTTGACTTTATCAACGGGACAATCAAGGCGCCGATAGCAAACGATGAGAAGTTTCAAACATGGAAACATTGTGATTTATTAATATTTCAACACGTAATCTCAACAACAGTAGATTACGTAAAAAGATGAGCCAAAAGAAAAATGGCCAAACATATGATGATTTTTGTCCTACGTCTTTGATTCTTTGCTCCATTGGATAGTTCTCAAAGTTCAGCGGTTACAAATTCACAAGTCGCAATGAGAGCAATCTCCCAATGGGTGTCTCCTCCAAATTCATTTATTACAACCGCGCAAAACTTACTATAAAACCGACAGGAGAGGATGCTCGAGTGGTGTCATAAGCCCACAAGTCAAGCTTTAACTCGATGATGATTCAAGACGTGGATTAAGTCAAGATATTCAAGAAAAATGGTTTGTAGATGATTGCCAACGACAGCCTGATGTTGCTATTCTTTCAACAGTTAATGAGTACCAGAAGTACAGAATTTATGGCTCTACACAATGCTCGTCTAACTCCATTTTAGTCATCTTCTTTAAAGGAGCCTAACGAAACCCAAGTTTCATGACTGGTCTTTGAACTCTAGAGGCAACATCCGCATTTCCATATTTCAGATTTAAAATGACACACATATGCAGAGAAAATGTAATTGTTCGAATGTAGCAGTATGACTCCTTTCATGTTTGTTTGGTACGATAGACAACTAAATACACAGTATTGAGAAAAAAATTGTAAAACATCATTCGAACATGTGAAGATCCAACAAGTTCCAACAAAGGATTAATCTATATGTACAGGGGATCCTGTACAGATTTACAGATGGTGCGTTGGATTTTTTTAATTATTGTTTTTGTCAACGTCCAATGAAAAATTGCTAAGTATCTTCCTGCTGTCAAACTTCCCTACACGCATAGCATTTCTCCCCACCCAGATAAGGAGGGATGGAGACGTGCTCTAATAAATCCAGATTCCAAGTGGGCCCTAAGTGCTAGGACAAGCACATCATTGTAGTACACACGTCACAGAGATTAACTTTATCCATACATTGTTCTTGTCTGAAGTTCTCCTAACATGTCTAAACAGTTGGACACGACTGAGCAAGACAAAACATGTCTAGTCTATCTTACCAAAGGAATAACTTGGTCACCATCATACCCGATTCGCCACAAACCATTTCAATAAACTTCTTAATCATTTCACCGAGAAGAATGTTATAGCACAAAATTAGAGTCATACAATGTATACAATCTAATCAAACTCTAGAACTTGCATACATGTACAGAATTGGATGGAATAGCTTTGCATAAATTGAGCATAAAAAAATTCCGCCAACTGCAAAAGATTCAAGAAAGTATGGAACTAGAATTGCTATAAGAAATTCTTATTTGAACACGTGATGTTGAAATCAATGCCAAAAATTCAAAGTAGATCAGATCGACTATGTTTGATCCTTCCAATCGAGAACTTTGGCAAAGGAAAATGAACTGAGAACTCAATGACAATGACACTAAATAATAGCCAAGAAACCAAACTGTTGAGCTAAAGCTCAATATCAATTCACTAAAGATAATGTCAACACACAGAAATTCTTGAAACAAACCCCAGATCAGCATCAGAACTCTTAATGTTAAGACAAGCATTAAATAAGATCTTCCCCAAATTACATGCAACTACTACAACTACACCACAAACAAACATCAAACAAAGGTTAAACTACAAAGGAAGACACCTACTAAATAACGTAAACCTTAAAAACAAGCTAAGTTGATTTAACGCAAGTAAACCAACATTAGTTGCTTATTCAAAGCAACTAACCTTCCAAGCCATTTGGTGCAGGCTGCTGCTGGACCTTCCTTGGCCTGCCCCTTGGCCTTCCAGTCTTTGAAACAGCCGGGGGACCTGCAGCTGGCTTTGGCTTCTTTGGTTCAGGTAACGAATTTGGGTCCTTCCTTGGACGTCCTCGGCCGCGCTTTGGTGGGGCATCAGGTCCCGGCCTAAGATAGTTGTTCTTGATGAATAAAAGCTCCCCACTGTCCTTCATTGCAGTCAAATGAGCTGATAGCAAGTTTGCATGCCCAGCAGGCAAGTCTCCATACTTGGATTCTATGTATTTCGATATCGATGACTTATTTGCCCCTTCCTTTTGTTTCAATGAATCCAGGGCTTCCATTATCATCTACAAAAATGCATAAAAAAATGATGAATAATGTTTTACATCTGAGAATTTTTCCCGACGGAAATTTCCAAATAGTGGTGAAACTTGCTAACGTTAGAACAATTCTAGCTGAAGCCTTAACAGTTAGCGCACGCCTGGTTAAGCTTAAAATTTATACATACAAGTTACTGAATGGTTTAAAAGAAAAAATTTCTTTTTTTGGTCGGTCAAACTTAGGAGTAAGTAATAACATTACCTTACCTTCAACAGAATCACTTATTTTACTAGTAATAAAAATGTAAATTGCCTAAACATGTTTGAAACGTCAGAAATGTTAAAGTGTTTAAAAAATTAAAGCTGAAATCTTAACAAGAAGAACATCTAAAATTTCTATAAAATAATTGGTAAAAGAGTGAGAATTTCTATGATTTGTTCCCAAAATTAGTTTAAACACCATTCTTTATGATTGCACTAGATTTAAAACACCCAATATAAAATACCGAAATTGACATTAATCACCTGAAACAAATTGCATACAAATAAAATATACATGTAAAAGAGATAATTTTTCATTAACCACTAGATAGACAAAAAATAGGGCAAAAAATAAAACGAGGGTTTTTAAGAAAGTGAGAAAATGGGTACTCTTCAAAATCAAAACCCTCATTTTCGTTCATCAAAACCAAGAAAAAAATGCAAAAATATCAACACAATCAATTTTATTTTTTTTAATCAAAACATTGAAGTCTGGGTTCAGGTTGTAAAAGTACATGCAAAATGAAAAATAAGGGCCGGAACGTAATAAAAATTTTGAATTTCGCCCTTTTACCTGTGGGTATGGAGGGAGTGCTGGAGGCTTGCTGACCTCTTCAGTCGCCATCGAAAATTTACTCTGAGAGTGGAGTGAGTAGGGATGCGGGGGTTGGGGTGCGTGGGGTGGGGGTTTGTTTCAGGTTCAAAGAGCACTGTGGAAATCTATAACAGGGGAGTAGAGAGAGAACTTATTGACAAAATTATTACGAGGGTTTCAGGTTGTGAAGTTAAAACATAATAATCAAGAAAATAGGAAATTTGCATTACAAGTCCCTTAACATATGAATATTCTGCAGCGAGTTGATTTTTATCTTTATTTCATCGTTTGTTCTCAAATTTTAAAGTTTGTAACACTTCAATTTTTGATAAACGGTTTTCCATCTATGTTGCCTTTCGAAAGTAATTTTTTTTTATTCTTCTCCTATGTCAAACTCCCATCCAAGCAATCGTGGAGATGAGTAGTGGGTGATTAAATATAGACAAAAGAATAGTATTGTCGAATAATTGAACAAGTGAGACGTAAATAAAATTAGGAGCATGTTCAGACAAAATAAAGAAGAAAGTCATAAGGTAGAGAAAAGCAGGTAATGAACTAAGGTGTAAATGCAATTGATGATGGTGGTGAATTAGGAGTATGTAGGGGCTCGAGGTGCCACTTGTATCCCATTGTCTACATAGCCCCAAGGGTCGGGCTACCAAACAATTTCCCTCACACGGATCGACAAGCCAATTCGATAGTCACAAACAATGCTTTAAGGATAAGATGCTGCAATAGTACTTAAGGTAACACGATTAGTGTATTTTTCGATAATATGGACTATATAACCAATTATTAGCAATATTGCGACGTCATTTGAAGAGAAGAGTTCACTAATTGAGCGACAAAATTATCTGTTTTACATCGCAAAAATTGAAATCACATTAGAGTCGCATGATTCTTAAAAGCAACATGGATCGAAAACATTCAGGGTGTAGATGCTACAAACTTAGTAGATTAGGATCAATCTGCTAAAATTTTTGGGTCCAACTTGCTATAACACCTATAGGTTCGGGACTTCTACTACAGTTTTCCTGCTAAGTAAAGGTGTTTTTTGTTAGGCAATGGACGGTAAAGATTATCGGGATGGATCATGATCGGACGAGTAGACATCAGTCATAATAGGTCACGAAGATGGATGACGCGGACAATGACTCAATGCCAACGGGTATTGAATACTTCACGTTTTTCCTAAATTATTATTAATTTTGAAGGATGCTTCATAGTTTTGGGCTTTAAGTGCTTCTTTAATTGATAAAAAGAAATTGGAGACAGACTTCTAATTAATTTTACTTAATGCTATAAATTATTTTTAATATTACTACATAATTCCTAATTAGTTGTATATAAATGGGTTTGTAGGTAAAAAAAAAAAAAAAAAAAGGATATCTTATTTTTATTTATTATGATCACATATTTCGTATGTCAAAATTGAAAGTCTTGTCCATTGCAATTGCTAAATATTCTTAAAGTCTTCAAATAATTTAATTGGTTTGATTTTGTTAGAATGAGACATCGTGTTAAAATTTTAAATATATAAATTATACTATTTTATATATGTAAATAATGCGTACGTATTGAATATACATATCCAAGCTATTTAATTAATAATAAGACTTGGGTAAAGAAATTATTTAAATCCACCTCTTTCCATTTTTTGGATTCTTGTAATTTAAATGTGTATTTTTTTTTACTTGATTATTTATAATGTTCAATGTTGTAAAAATTGTAATTCAAAGTCAGGATTAAACCTTTATTGAGTGTTTTTTTTTTTTGTTTTTGTTTTTTTTCTTTTTTTTGTTTAACAAATGATCAAGTTTTTTTTTTTTTTTTTTTTTTTTTATTTTTTAAAAATTTTTTTTTATTTTTTTTTTTTTTTTGAATTTTGAAGATTTTATTTTAATTTTTGAATGTTGTAACTTATTTTTTTATGTTCTCCTAGTGGGAATCAGATAAGTATAGGCACCAACACTTTGATGAAAAGCAAGTTTTAAACCATAACTGATTTTATTCTCAATCGAACAATATCATTTAGGAGTGACACTTTTCTATTGCTTTCTTGGATTAAATTAATCTTTATGTCATGTTACTTATTAAGCCATACATGTGGAATGTTCTTGTCATTTTGAGTTGTTAAAGTGGGATTTTGAATATTAATATTATCACTATAGTGTTGCAAATTGAATTAAAAAAAATAAGTAATTCCTATAATTTGATGAATCCAATACAATGCATCTCTAATTATCACTTGTTTATTTCGATGTAAAAGGGACATGGAGAGATTTTTTTATTTTTAGAAAATGTTAAAAGGGAGATATCAAATACAGTGTATTTTTTATTTTGTACAACTTTCACGAATCCTAGACTAAGGACTCCATTATTGGATTACAATGCTAACGTCCATGATCAAGTTCAAGAGCATATATGCAATCGTGAATTTCTTAAAAAAAAAAATGTGTATATATATATATATATATAGAGAGAGAGAGAGAGAGAGAGAGAGAGAGAGAGAGAGAGAGTATTCAATCCTTCTTGATTTAAAGAGTTTGATACTTGGAGTATAGAGTATACCAAAAGATGTTGTTTTTTCCTTGTATTGTTATATTTTTAAAATACGTAATGCGAAACAAGGGGGAGGCAACTCTTTCGTTAGTAAAAGATGCACTTATTGAAGAAAATAAAGAAAGGCTTAATGCTCATGTTGAAGTGTTAAGTTTTGACGAATCAAAAATAACATATTCAAACAATTTTCTTCTAGTAGTAAAAAACAAGTACGGAATAAATATCATATCCTTCTTAAAATATCAATTGATTGTGGTCAAGTTATTTTGTGATAATGGCATTAACTTCGGGGTCATGATGAATATGATAATTCTATCAATCCAAGTAACTTCCTATTCCAATTTTATGGCTGATCATAATTATGATATTAAGCCCAGCAAATTGAAAAACGCTTCACAAATAAAAAATTGACAATGCTTGATATTCAAATATATGTGATAAATGTTTGTGTTGTTGAAACGATCAATGTTATTATAAAAAATGATGATAATAGATTATTTTCTATTCCAGTTGATGAATTTCGTAAAGTTTCTACAAAGGAGCAAATGTCAAGTGCTTTACATTTTGTGAATTTCATGTCTTTAACACGTTTTCAATACTTCGATTGTCTCACTAAGAGCTGTAATTGATAAGATATTTTTTAAATATAACTTAAACAATTTTACATTGGGAGGACAAGGCTACGATGAATCAATAATATGTAACGTAAGTCTAACGGTCTCAAAGCACTCATTTTAAATGTACATTTATATTCATTGTTTTCCTCGTTAACTTCTACTATATCTTGTAATTGTGGCAAAAGAGATTATTTTGATTACTAATTTCTTTCATGTTATAAATATATTTTTTTCCGATTTAAATTCTTTTTAATTCTTCTCTTCATGAAAAAACATAATTTTTTCAATTTTAATAAAATAATATTTATATATTCTTTATTTAACTTTCGTAACTTTCTTTTATTTAATCTGTTTTGCTTTTATTATATATTTTTTGAAAATTGTTTTAAAAATTCTTTTTTCTTCATACTATAAATAAATTTTCTTTCGATTTAAAATTCTTGTTAATTCTTTTCATTTTTATGATAATTTTTTTTTTCAATTTTAATTAAAATCTAATGTTTATTTTTTTATTTTAATTATTTCAATTCAATTAAAAACTTTATAATAATTCCTTTTTTTTCAATTTTTCCATGCAATTTTTTTTTAATTTGTTAAATTATTTAGTTTCTTTTATTTATTAGTATTGGATTAGATGAAGTGAAATGGTGTGTGAAAATGGAGAAATATTGGAGTGGAGGTTATGGTTGCAATGAAGTGGCATGTGAAAATTGAGAAATGATTGAAAACAGTACGATGTAGTTTTTGCTCCTACGATGAAAAAAATTTTAAAATTTCTTTTTAATTGCTTTTCTCTTTATGATAAAACTTAATTTTTTCAAATTTAATTAAATAATATTCATATATTCTTTATTTTATTTTCATAACTTTCATTTGTTTCTATTATATATTTTTCGAAAATTGTTCTAAAATTTCTTTTTTCTTCACATTATAAATAATTTTTTGTTTGATTTAAAATTCTTTTTAATTCTTTTCGTTTTATGATAGAACATAATTTTTTAATTTTAATTAAATAATATTAGGATTTAATTAGATCCAATGACAATATTAGGATTTAATTAGATCCAATGACAACAAAATCAAGTCCTTGGAAGAAGATTGATACATGAAATTGCATTTAACATTTTAAATTATAATTTAAGATTCTGCATGGTGTCTGTCAACATGAAAAATCATTTTTAATGTAATAGTGTAGATATTGTTATATTGTATATCTTGGTGATATTTAATTATTATAATCATAATATGGATTATGGGCAAAGCACGAATCGGCTAAATCATATTTCAGGCAGAGCTAATATATATGGAGAAATATATTTCCCATAAAAAAGTTTTCCACAAACTTTTGTTTAGGAAAATGCCTGGTGCAAATAAATGCAAATTCTCAAATGTTCACATGAAAAATAAAAAATACAGAGAAAATTGACAAAAAATAAGTCAATTTCAAATCTTTCAAATTTATAAATGATTTTTTCTGAAATTTACATACACTTATTTTAAACATTAACCAATTAACATGCAACACACGTTCACCTACTAGTGACAAAAAAATGAGAGTATATACATCGATTTATAAGTTTTTGACAATGATGCTAATTCTTTCGATTATTATTGCTATGGTAGAGAGTGTATTTTCTGAAAAATGATTGCATAGTAGAATTGGAGATCGGTGCATAAATGGTAGTCACATTGTGTTGACCTAAATGATTGACTTCTCGTTTTGATTGTCATAAATAAATTGTGTTTACTTTTAACACATTGAATTCGAGTGTTGATAGTGACTATTACAAAATTAACAAAAATGAAGACTCGAAAATCAAGATCAAGAAACTTGCACATTGACAAATGAAATTGGCTCTTGAAGATCAACATGGAAACAAAATTGGCGATTGCCGAAAGTAGAGACAGAAATCAAATAGAAATCGAGCCTTCACGTCAAAAATTACCTTGGAGAGAAGATCGATCATCAAATTTCAAGACATTAGATGTAGATGCTTTGAATTTATATGTAAAGATAAAACATTTCAATTATTAACATCGACTATAGCTCAAAATAATTTTTATGTACGAAAAAAAATTCACGTTACAAAAGATATTTGTGTAAAAATTAAATTTTAAAAGGTAAATAGTTCGACTCAACAATCAAATATCTACAAAAATACATATCTTTACAAAATAAGTGAGAAAGTCCTGCAACAAACCACTTTGATCAAACTCATCACGAAGGAAAAATGTTCGGGACATCTCTGCCCATCTGGATGTTTGGATCACCAGTGGTCACTTTTTTTTACCATTTTGCCTCTAACTCAAACGGCTAGTTTTTAACCCGTCCAGACTCCAACCAGACATCTAGATCAAGTGTCAGGATGGACATATTTTTTGCTCGTTTGATTGCTATAAATGCCACTTCACTTCCTCATTTGTAATAACTTTTTTTGAGCGTTTAAATGAGGCTTTTATTTATCTCAACTACCTTGTTTTAATCCTAAGAAGATCAAAGTACCTATTTTTTGAAAAACTTTTTGAGGGATTAAATTTGTAAAAATCTTTTATCTCATTAAAGTTTTTCAATAACTAACATTTGAATTGTACTCATTGCTATTTATTGAAGTGATAGCCTACCTCTCTCTTGATACTTAATTGACCATATCATTTAATAAGAGATAAGCTTTTACTTGTAATATATATATATATATATATATATATATTTTTTTTTTTTTTTTTTCGTTTGATTGTGGGTGCTGTTGAGGCCCCGTAAAGCTCAACGTTGTAAAATGATCGGTACTCCTTGTTTGTAAGTCATCAGAAGCGTTGTAAGAATTGGATTGCGTCATAAGTCAATCAAACATAGTGAAAAAAGGTTTTGCTCGTGATGGAAAGTTTGGTAACGAGGGACGTAGATCGTTGATTGGATCGAACCTACATAACTACATCGTTTGCGCATTCTCTTCCCTTTTACTTATTTTACTTGTACATTTAATTTATTGGTTATTTGTTTGAGTTTGCAATTATTTTTGAACAAGTTGTTAAATAATCAATTCACCCCCTCTTAGTTAGCTATTCTCGAACTTTTTCACATTATTTATATCGAGACAGATATATTTTTAAATATTAATGATGAAATTATTATACAAAAATATCAAGATTTGAAAATTTGAAAGAAACAATTATAAGGTATGCCATTTTTTTAGTTTGGTGGTTATATTTCCATCATAATTTCTATACGATACATCACATTTTAATCACAGTTAAGTTCCTTAATCTTTGCTTATTGTAGCAGTTATTTTTTAAGTTTTTTTCGTTGAATTTTTATCTTGAACATTTCATTAATTAATACATATTATCCTTGATGATGATATATATCAAAATATTTGTTTCAAGCTTTGAAATGAGGAAAAAATATTCTCCTGCACTTTTGATTTATTTATTATTTAAAAATACAACAGAAAAAGAAGTTATTTTACGTAATTTCAACAAACTTTTGGACATGAAAATGTTATCAAATACAAAATGTGTTAACTAATGAAAAGTTTGAGATTAAAAATAATATGATAAACCTTTAGGGGCATAACTACTATAATGAGCAACAATTAAGAACATAAGTGCAATTAAAATGTGATGTAAGAAATAAAAATTGTGGTTTGAATATAATCTTGATGTTACTATATTCATTTTTACTTTTATTAAATACCATTAGCACAATATAATTTTCGAGGAGAGCCCATGTCACTCAAGTAGCCTCATGGTTTGCTTGAGCGGTCTATTTGCTTAATAATCACCACTCTTTGTCTACTTTTCCATTTATTGTTTCATGGCCTCGCTTAATCAGAAATTTTGGTACTTGGATAGGGCTTCTCATGCATCTACATTTTGTGTCTAAATATACTTATTTGACGACTGTAATTTGATTTTTCATCTTAAAATCATGATACATAATTATGCAACAATCCTCCATCTTTTCGTTAATATTATCTTTAATGTACTCCGAAGCTTGGGTTTAATACTAAGATTGAAGATGCAAAAGAATCGATAGAATCTATACTCCGATAACTTAGAATACCATCGAAACTCTTCATAATAAGGATGAATGAAGTTTACAAAATACATTCAACAAGCAATCTAGAATTGGGTTGCTAGCAAATCTAAAATAAAAATGAATAATGCTCAAAATATAAAAACCAACAGCCCTCTAAGGTTAAGAATGGGCTGTAGATATCTTAGAATGACGGCCCAATAAACTTTTAAAATGAGCCCAAACTTCCACCTGTATCAAGGCCGAGGCTTCCAAGGAGAAGATGAAAGAGAAAATTGCCTAGAACGCTAATTTTTAAGTTTCAATTTCAAAATTCAGGTATTGATAATTTATTTTATTTTATTTTTTAATCAAAAATAGGTATACTCCATTTCATCCCATCCTAACCACTCCACATAGTATTAAGGAGAGTATCCTCAATTGGCCCCCGGGGCACATCTTCAAGTGGTAAAAGGGGAGGATGGAGAAATCCAGCTTTACTTGAGGTTGCTGCGTCAAGGGTTCGAATCCTGAAATATGGATTTGGCTCTTGTGTAAGTACAGGTGTACAAGCAGCCTTTCACCCTGTATCCTTAGAGGCATAACCTGCGATTTACCTCCCTCACGATGCTTCAAGGCAGGGACGGTGGGGGACCCTTAAGGTTGGGGTTCAACCTTTTTAAGGAGAGTATCCTCAATTGAGATTGTGATGGATTTTAAAATCATTTTAAATTTAGGTGTTCTCAATTAAGATTTTAATGAATTAAATGAAATTTACTAAAATTTAGATGTTCCCAATAAAGACTTTAATGAAATTCAATGAAATCATTTAAATTTAAGTATTTTCAATAATTAGTGAATTTATAAAGATCTTAAGATTTAGATGGATTTCAAGTTTAAAAATATATATAATAAAATATTTTGAAATTTCATCATATTTGATGTGTTTATTATAAAATTTGTGGGAATCTATTCAAATCCACGAAATTCATCAGGATTTATAATTTTTTAAAATCCATCAAAATCTTAGTTGAGAACACTCATGTAAGACTCGTGATTTCATCTTAAAATGTTAACTTTATTGAGATGAGTAGTCCATGCCCTTATATTGTTGATCTATATTTTCATCTTTAATCGATGTAGAATTTATCCCTTAGTATATTCTCACGAGATGGTGATTCATTTAACCAAATCAATCTTGAAATTCGCGTGCTCATTTTTTGAGTTTTAATCGGGTCAAATTGCTCGTTTAAGTTTAATGGATTATGATACTATATTAAGCCTTGATATATCATCTCAAAAGATTAACTCAATTAAGAAGAGTAGTCAAAGTACTTATATATAGGTCTATATTTTCAATTTTTCATCTTTATTCGAAAGTGAGATATATCCCTTTAACACACACCACCCACCTATTTCCTAGCCACAAGCTCTCAGCGAGGATTTGTCAGCCTTCGCGTTTTTTTGACCGTTCTGATCCACATAGCTCTGAAAATATGCCTCAAATTTATCCATGTTCGGACCGTGTTCCCACATTTCCTTAAATAAATCTCTAATGAATTCATTTTATACATTTGCCAAACTAAGAAATTGAATCCCATAATGATAATCTCGAAGGGACCACCAACGATCAATGAACGAGTTCGATCCTGTATTATGATGATATCATTTTGATTAAAATGGTAATAATTATTTGGTAATGGCATCTTAATTCTAATGGAAAGCTCTGGCGTATTGATTGTCGGGAAATGCTCGGGAAACAGGGGGCTGACCTCCCCCTGACAGAAACCCCACAAATAGGGGGGTCCCGCAAAAAAAAGAAAAAAAGGGACCCCCCCTATTGTGGAGTTTCTATTAGGGCGCGGTGCCGCCCCCTGTTTCCCCAGCATTTCCAATTGATTGTTTGTTGAATGTAGAGCACTTAGCACAGTGTTCAACTTTGGATATTCAACTCTTACATAGAAAATTGTTTTGTTGATTCCTTTTCTATTTTAGTTGTTGAAAGTATGGGTATTTTAGATGAGCAAATTAGGTGATTATGTGGTTGTTGATAGTAAATAGGGGAGGTGATGTGAGGTGGGATGAGAAGAATAGTAGTGATTGTGACCTAAAAATTGTGTGTTATGTGATTAATAAATTATTTCTGACATATTAATTGTGTGAATTATGACTTATTAATCATATGATTTGTGATTTAATATGTGAATGTGACTAGGGGCGGATCCAGAATTATTTTTCAGTGGGGTGAAACGGAAATTGAAAAAAAAAATCTAAAAATTTAAATTTAACAAGGTCGAATTGAAGATTTTTGAAAATTTAGTGAGGGGCGGCTAACCGCATTCGTCCCCTTAGTGGGTCGGCCCCTAATTGTTACCTATACTTATTGTATATTATATGACTTCAAGTCATTGTGTTATTTGTGATAGTATGTGAATGTGATCCGTAGTTTATAGGTATTTATCATAGGTCACAAAAGTGATTACTTGGTTTTGAATTTTTTTAATTTATTATTATTATCCTTTTTTTTTTTGGGGTAAGTTTGTTAAGTTAGAAATTGTATTCTTAGACCTTTGTAGTTATGATTTTTTTCCAAGATGAAATTTCATTTTGCTTAGGTGAGTAATATGCTTTGCAAATTCTTAATTTCTTTACAATGAACTGTTGACATCAATCCTGCATTTTATATATTTGGATCAACAAGAAAGGTGTTTGATCTCCAGACCAAATTCTCGAATACATATAGTTGTTTTCATGACGTGCCAAAATAGTCGATATTATATATAGTTCAGTTATTACTCAATGTCATCAAAGATTCAAAAGACGGGTCACGAATAATTCATAAGATTGTTCAATAAAGACGAGCTAAGTTTGTGATAGCATTAAGTCCCAATATCAATAACAAAAACATGGAGAGACAATAGATTGACAAGCTTCAATTTCAATCGTAATTCAAGTATACAACCACACTATAAGTACATCATAATTCACTTATATATAAAGGTAAACTAGTATAGGTAAGACTACTTCAAAGCATGAGTAGCTCATATTTCTCTATATTGTTCTACAACTTCATTTCGAACAAGCATTTCTCTTAAACTTTGTTGGCATTCGAAACAAACAATGGGCAAGTTTGTTTATTGCCCTTTGAGTAAAAATAGAGTACTTATATAGATTATGGATTAAATAAAATGGTTTATTTTATGGGCATTTAGGACCTCCTTCCTTAGTCTTCCAATTGTTGTAACAAGGGCATGTTTGTTTATTGCCGTAAGTCCCTGGGGGCACACACAAGCACTTAGCACAGCACTTTTGACAGAAGAACATACATGGCTTCTTGTGGGATGTTGCCGAACAACGGTAGTTGCATCTCGAATTGCAATCTGTATCAATATTGGAACAACAATTTCAACATTTTTCGAATTTTACAGTACTCGACAATATCAAGAAATTAAAAGAAAAGTTACTCAACATTTCCTATACCTTTAGGATGAAGTTTATTGTATCCCTGTCCAAGATTCAAAAGAGATCCAAGAAAATATGTCAGACAAAAATGTAGTCTAGTCTCTAAATAAAATGAAAAAGAAGAATAAAATTGAAAGAGAGGATAAGTAGATTTGTTACCTCAACAACGTTGGATAATGCAATCAACACAAGTAGAGATATAGCCAACAAAAGGCATGTGTTGTACGGACGACCTGCCATTTCCTGCTCTCTAAAACTAAGGAGCCTACTTCTTGTTTATAGAATGAGAATGGGATGCAGATTTATAGGAATTTCTTGGTGTATGTATAAAGAGGTGGTGGTGTTAGGGGTGAAGGGTAAAGAGATACATTGTTTGAGGGGTGTGTCGGAAGTGGGGTAGGGGAGGGGACTTTTAATCAACTGGTTTTAGTTTTTTTCAATTTTTGCCAGTTAAATCAATAGTTCCATTTTCATAATTCTCAAACGTAACTTGTTTTGATTTTCGGTTCTTGAGAAACTCGTATTGAATATTCTAAAGCTTGCTTCTAGACAAGGGTGCTTAGGGTAAACAGACTCATTGAGGAGTGGATCAAATGTGAGAGGTAAGGAAGGACATTTTTATTCCATCTTTTCTTGTCTTGTCAATAGAATCGACTTGATTCGATTTTCAAGAAATTTGGATCGAACTACTCCATACTAGGGGTGTAAGTGGTCCGATTTTACCGATTTTTGACATATTTTCAAACCAAACCGTTTAAAACGATTTGAGAAAAACCCAAACCTAAATCAAACCATTTTGAACAGTTTGAAAAAAACTCAAATCTAAACCTAACGGTTTGGTCCGGTTTTAAACCATCGGTTTCACCATATATTTTTTTGCCTGTCTACTTTTATATCATTAATTCATTAAATTTAATATATATTTATATCTCACTAGTAATAAATTTAAAACAAACTAAGCCCCTGTTTGAACCAAATTTTGGAACAAAAAAATGAAAATTTAGATCGTTGTTCCACAAGTCCAGCCGCCTTTGTTGACCTACTATTTCATGTGTGGGACCCAGCCTCCTCTCCAATAGTCAATTTTCTCATTATGATGATATGAAAAATATGGATCAAACAGGGGCTAAATATATCTACTATAAATTTAAATATCAACTAAATCAAAGTGAAATCACAATAAACTAAAACGTAATTTTTTTTCATTTTTGTTCACTTTTTTTAGGCTAATAACGATACAATAACGTTACAATACAAGTCTACTAAACTAGATATAAGGTCCAAAAAACATAATGATGTACAATAAGATTTCGTGATCATCATATCTGAAAAAATGAACATTGATTAAACAAATAGAATAACCAACCACAATAATAAAACAATTGTTTATAATATCTAAACATAACAATTACACAAGTTTACGTTTGTATGATGTTACGAAACACATTTAATTTCAGATTCTTACCTTAGTTTGCTCCAAAAAATTATTGATCTGAAACTTTATTTGTAGCAAATATTATCAACGAAGGTTTAGAATCTCTTTGTCTCCGATTTGGTATAATGGATTTCAATTCAACTTTGAAGAAGCGTGAAAAATCTGAAAAAGAAGTGTGTAGTGCCAGTGGCTCAAAATTGTGTTGGGTGTCGACTGGAGTTCATCGAAATTTTGAAGAGGAAAAATGTTTTTGATAGATTATGTTAGTCTTGAAATTATTAAATATATATTAGGATTATTGGATAATAATAATAATAATAATAATAATAATAATAATAATAATAATAATAATAATAATAATAATAATAATAATATATCTGTATTAGAAAACTAGGAATTGACAAAAATACCCAGAAATGACAAAACTATTGAATTTTACATATTTGGATCAGTTTTCAAAAAAATTCATTTTTTCATTTTTTTATTTTTATATATTTTTTCGCCGGTCCGGTTTGGTTTTAAACCGTAATTAAAATTCTCAAACCTAAACCAAACTATTTTGACCAGTTTGGTTTGGGTCAAAACCATTTCGTTGACCGGGTCCACGTGGCACCAAACCGATGGTTTCTAAAATGCGATTTCGGTTCGATTTTCCAATTTTGCGATTTTTGCTTACAGCCCTACTCCATACTCCCCCGTTGGAGGTGGGGGTGAGGGGTTAAAGAGATGCATTATTTAAGGCGTGAATATAGGAAAGAATGCAAGAGAAAATTCCATAAATAGATGATGAAAATGTGAGCGATAATGGCGCCGTGTCTGATGTTTTGATTTGGTATGTTATGATTTCGTCAACTTTTAGACATGTTACTTTGTGTCCTTTTGTGGCTCATAAGGCACTCTAATTGCTGTCATGCATTTGCATTTTGAATGTCACTATCTTAATGACATATGCAATCCAACACAATCTTGAAGGTGGTCAATCTCAAATTTAACAAATACGAAGTTTAGTTTTTGTAGTTGTTGTATCGATTAAAAAAATACGAATCTCATAAATTCTTCATATGTTTTCTTTTATAAAAGGTTATATTCTGTTGATACATATGATAAAATTTTCAAAAATGTTTAAGCTAGAGTCGTCTGTCTGTCAATGGATGCAATATTGAGAAGACATGACATACTACGATCACGTATAGATCCGCTGCTTTTCATCTCGACGATATGGAGCACTCAAAGGATTGAAGGGAGGTAATGCATCAAACTTTTCGCAAGGGCTAACTTGATTTGTCAAAATCAAATTAGATTTATGTTTAACTAGAAAAACGAAAGTAAATTTGAAATTGAGTCTAATTATAAGATAAAAATCCAATTTTTTTACGAAACCTAACTTTTAGTACCAACAAGTTCACATCTAATTGTTTTTATTTGTTTATTCAATTTTTTACTAAAGTCGACTTTGACTCCTTTTTTCATATCAATATTCTGACAAATTTGTAAAGAGTAATGCTATTTGCAGTCATTAATCACCATATGTGTGTTATGTAGGACGACTGCGATAGTAAACTACTATAAACAATATTATTCATTTTTAAAACACAAGTTGTACGTCAGGAGTTTGTATGGTCCTCACATGTACAAAAATAAGCAAAGTTTACATTTTATCAGCTTTCTCATTAGTTTTAGTGTGCTAATCATTTTGTATAATCCAAAGTAAACAGCTGCACGATCGAGAAGGATTTCAATGTGTATCACTAATTGTCTTAAGAAATTCCTTGTCATTATTTTTAATTTTTTAGAGGTTGATTTGAAATTCCTAATGAAAATTGGGCATTGGAATTTAGGCATATATAATACTTCATTGATCTCATTTATATAACTTTGTTTTTCACACAAATTATGAAATCTTATTTAATGTTATTGAAAAAACAATCGCCAAAATTTGTTTTAGTTTATCTTTATTTATATTTGCACAATTTTAAAATTAAGAGAAAAAAAGGGTTATAACTAAGCAAATTAAATAAGAATACATTAATAATGAACAAAATAAAATATTCTCAATAAAGAAACATGACTATATAATTGGGACAAAAAAGAAAGTCAACATATATAAATGGGACGGAGAGAGTAATAGAATTAATCTAAATGTACATTCCTAAATAAGATGGTTACTGATATCGATTGTTTAAATTATTGTTAAAGTCAATGTATAAAAAATTAATATCTCACAAGAATGTCATCCATAACTTCAATATGCCCGTCCGCTATTTTTGTTCATGTCTCTGCGACAGATTACGTATCACAACCAAATTGCTGACCGATCACTTGTGCTAGTTACCAAGAAATTTATAATTTTGGATTTATCTTGTTGTACATAATATTTTGCACATAATGATGTCCTCCACTCACATGGTGGGAGGCCCACATGAATATAATCACTTCATCGATTCAATCCGAGTGATGAAATTATACGGAGTTATCTGATTGAAATTAAATTTAAAAGTAGTTATCCATTTGATTGCAATTGCAATATAATTACCCGATTGAAATCAAGTGATTACCACAAAAGAAATAATACCCTTTGATTTTAGGATGGTTATATTACCACCACATTTTTCAATCTATACAACACATTTTAATTGCAGTTAAATTATTTGCTTATTATAACAATTAATTTCTTAATATTTTTCAGTAGAATTATTATCTTCAACATCTCATTAATTAGTATTCACATTCTTGATGATGATTTATACTGAAATATTTTATTTTAATGCTTTAAAAATGAGAGAAAAATATTTTTTCGCACTTTTTTTGTTTTTGTTTTTTAAATATGAAGAGAAAGAAAATAAGTTATTTTCCACACTTTCAACGAGCTTTTGGACATAAAACTGTTATTAGATATAAAATGTGTTAAACTAATAGAAATTTTGAGGATAAGAATAACATGAAAAATTGTTAGGGACCTAAGTGTTATAATAAACAAAAATTAAAATCTTAAGTGCAATAAAAAATACGGTGTAAGAAATCAAAATTGTAGTGTGAATATAGTTATCCTTAATTTTATTGCCAAGCTAAGATGTCGGGGAACTTACATAAATACCCTCAAAATCAGGCGTCTTTTGAAAAATCATAAGAAGAGTGTTTTGAAAATAAAAAAATATTGTGTAAAATTAAGTGTCACTTTTAATTAAAAAGTGATGTATGTCACTTTTTCTATTTGAATGATTGAATGATCTCTGTTTTTCTTGTATTAAATATGGAAGAATACAATAACAAAAATTCGAAAGGTGACAAATATTCAAAAAAAAGTGAGAAACATCAATCGAAACTTTAAAATAGATAATGGGATGATTGGTTCTTTTTATACGGTGTCTATTTGTGATTACATTTCACTTCATTTATGGATAATAACATTCTATAAGTTAGAAGTGAGATGTACTCATAAAAAGTTACAGAAATTCAAAAAAGTGAAAGAATAACAAGCACTCAAAAAAGTAAGGAATATCAATCAAAATCTTAGAATGGATATAGGAATAGTCGATTTTCTTCTATATGTTGTCTTTGAGTGATCATGTTTCACTTCTATTGATTAAACGTGGAACATAATTTAGTTTTAGGAACACAACACGCTCTAAGTCGAAAGTGATAAAAATTCAAAAAAATGGCAAACCCTAACCAAAACCTTTGGAAAAAAACATAGGAGATAGTTGATTTTCTTCTACATGTTGTCTATTTGTGATTATGCTTCTCTTATATTGACTAAATATAGAACATAATTTCATTTTAAAACCATAATAATATATAAGTTGAAAATGACCAAAAAAAAAATTAAAAAATGACAAATTTAAATTAGAAGTGACATAAAATGT